CGTCATTGTGACCATCAGCACCACGACCATCATCATGTTCTTCTTCTTCTTCTTCTCCTTCTTCATCCGAAACGCGACCCTCCTCATCATCACGATCATCACTATCATCTTCACGGTCACCCCCACTACCCGCCTCCCCTACCACCAGCCACCACTACTACCACAGCATCATAATGACCAGCACAGCCATCATTATTATCATTCTCATCACTATTACTATCATCACTACCATCAGCCGTCCATGCTGGGAAAGAGGAAAAAGGGAACAACTAGAAGGCTCTTGCAAAGGGTACCCCTTATGAGCGCCAAGGATCCACAATAGAAATGGGGTCCATAAATATGGCACCTCTCTCTATTGTGGCTCCTGGTTTGCTTGAGAACGCTTTCCTTTACATTTCTCTTGTAACAAAAGAAAGCACAATAGAGGATAATCTAAAATATTCCAACTTCCAAAACTATCGGTTTCTGATTAGACCCGTTATAAAAAGCTTCGCTTCAACAGTCTTGCAAAGGGTAGCCAAGGATCCACAACAGAGAGGCTCGCCCTGTTGTGGCTCCTGGCTTGCTTGAGAATGCTTTCCTTTACATTTTTCTTTTAACAAAAGAAAGCGCGATAAAGGAACATCTAAAACCATCCAATTTCCAAAACTACCGATTTCTAATTGAACACTTTATAAAAAGCTTCACTTCAACAATCTTGCAAAGGGTACCCGTTATAAGTGCCAAGGTTGCACAATAGAAAGGGAATCCATAATTATAGCACCTCTCTCTATTGTGGCCCCTGGTTTGCTTGAGAACGCTTTCCTTTACATCTCTCTTGTAACAAAAGAAAGCGCAACAAAAGGGAAATCTAAAATCTTCTAACTTCCAAAACTGTTGCGGTATGGCTGCGGCACATCCCAGGCGCTCGATTAGGAGGCAATCAAAAACACGCAACAACTTTTTGCCCACCAGAAAGGACAGGTGCACAGAGTAGGATTTGGGCCCAGAGTCTTAGCGCAATACCACTAGGCCACAATGTCAGTTGACAACAGGGTAGAAATATGAAGTCTGTCTGCTTGTCGGCTGAGGTCAGTTTTCCTTTAGCCGCAAAACCAGAAAGCACCAACCAGGACAAACTGATCACACTGGTAGTCATTTTGGCTCAAAAGGACTGCCTCCTTGGCAAGACATGTACCCCTGCATCAGGACTACAAAAGTCCTGCGGGAGGTGAACTGTGGAAAAGGACTAGAATCTAGAAAGATGCTCTGGGACAACAGGCTGGCGCTGGGAGATGCCAGTGGTAATTCCCTGACACTGCCAGATAACGATGGCAAGCAACTCTCAGCACCACGCATGACCTTGTGTCTTCTGCCAACAGAAGCAACGTTTGGAAGTGCCTCGATGCTCGCCGAATCACCCGTTAGAACAATGGCAGCAGAAGCCATGTTTGGGAGCGCCTTGATCCTCACTGAGTCACCTGTTAGAACAATGGATCTTCTGGCCACAGGCCAGCAAGGCCTGATAGAACAATGGAGGCCCCTTGTTTCTTCTGGCAACAGAAGCAAGGAGCGCCTCAATCCTTTTGTAGTCACGAGAGGAAATTGAGAGGCCAGCAAGGCATGTTAGAACAATGGAGGCTCCTTGTGTCCTTGTGTCTTCTGCCAACAGAAGCAATGTTTGGAAGTGCCTCGATCCTCACTCAGTCACCGCAAAACATAGAGGGGCCAGCAAGGCCTGTTAGAACAATGGAGGCTCCTTGTGTCTTCTGGCAACGCAAGCAATGTTTGGAAGTGCCTTGGTCCTCACTCAATCACCGGTGGACATAGAGGGGCCAGCAAGGCCTGTTAGAACAATGGAAGCTCGTTGTGCCTTCTCGCAAAAGAAAAAGGTTTGGAAGCGCCTCGATCCTCATTCAGTCACCAGAAGACATAGAGGGGCCAGCGTGGGCTGTTAGAACAATGGAGGCTCCTTGTTTGTGTTTTCTGGCAACAGAAGCAATGTTTGGATACTAAGTCACCAGACGACATAGAGGGGCCAGCAAGGCCTGTTAGAACATTGTAACTTCTGCCAACAGAAGCAATGTTTGGAAGTGCCTCGATCCTCACTCAGTCACCAGAGGACATAGAGAGGCCAGCAAGACCTGTTAGATCAATGGAGGCTCCTTGTGTCCTTGTGTCTGCTGGCGCCAGAAGCAACGTTTGGAAGTGCCTCGAACCTCGCTGAGTCACCTGTTAGAATAATGGATCTTCTGGAGCAATGCTTGGAAGTGCCCCGATCCTCACTTACTCACCAAAAGGCATACAGGGGCCAGTAAGGCCTGTTAGAACAATGGAGGCTCCTTGTGTCTTCTGGCAACAGAAGCAATGTTTGGAACCAGGAAGCCAGCCAACAACCAACCAATCCAAACGGGGGCACGCGTGGCTTCCTCACTACACTCTCCTGCCATTTCCTTTTGTGGCCTCAAGCCGCTCCTCAGCAGCCATGAGGCAGAAATGACTGTTGTCAACTGAGAATGTGTTCTAGTGGTATTGTAGTAGGGCTCAGAAGCCAGAGGCCCTGGGCTCGAATCTCACTGCTTGCTTGAGAATGTTAACAAAGCGCAATAAAAGAACATCTAAAATCTTCCAACCTCAAAAACTATCGGTTTCTAATTAAACCCTGTATAAAAAGCTTCACTTCAACTGTCTTGCAAAGGGTAGCCAAGGATCCACAATAGAGAGGTGGTCCATAATTATAGCGCCTTTCTCTACCGTGGCCCCCGGCTTTGCTTGAGAACGCTTTCCTTTACATTTGTCTTTAACAAAAGAAAACACAATAAAGGCAAATCTAAAACCTTCCAACTTCCAAACCTAAGCAAAACGCAAGCAGAATGAAAGCACAATGAAAGCAAGCGCAAGCCGAATGAAAGCAACATGAAAGCAGAATGAAAGCAGCGTGAAAGCAAAATAGAAAAGCAAGTGCAAGCAGAATGAAAGCAAATGCAAGCGACTACTACTACTACTACTACTGCTACTACAACAACAACTACTACTGCTGCTGCTGCTACTACTACTACCACTACTACTACTACCACCACTACTACTACTACCACTACCACTACTACTACTACGACTACTACTACTACTGCTACTACTACTACTACTACTTACTGCTTACTGCTTACTGCTTACTGCTTACTGCTTACTGCTTACTACTTACTACTTACTACTTACTACTTACTACTACTACGAATACAACCACGACGACTACCACGACTACTACTACTACTACTACTACTACCGCTGCCACTATACTAGTACTACTACGACTACGACTACGACGGCGACGACTACTACTACGACGACGACTGCCACTACTACTACTACTACTACTACTGCTACTGCTACTGCTACTGCTACTGCTCCTGCTCCTGCTCCTGCTCCTGCTGCTGCTGCTGCTACTGCTACTGCTACTGCTACTGCTACTGCTACTGCTACTGCTACTGCGACGACGACGACTACTACTACCACTACTACTACTACTACCACTACTACTACTACTAGTACTACTACTACTACTACTACTAGGACTGGGACGACGACGACTACGACTACCACTACTACTACTACTACTACCACTACCACTACTACAACTACCACTACTACTACTACTACTACCACGACTACTACTACTACTACTACTACTACTACTACTACTACTACTACTAAGGACGATTATTACGGACCTTCCCAAAAAAACAGCAAACAAAATGGCGAGGGGCGCGCGCCCTTACTAATACGGATCTAACATTATTAACATTTTAGGGGGGTCGGGGGTTCTTGCTATAGAGATTTTATATACATAATTTGGTGTGGGTGGGTGCTGGAGAACTTTTCGGTCTATAAAATTACAAGACCACAATAAAAAGATAGATCTATATGAACTGAGAAGCTGCGACGTCAGAAATGAGGCTCCAATAGTCGTTTTGTACGTCTGCATTATGAATCAGGAAGGTCTCTATAAACTGAGGAGGTGTTCCATTTTAGGCAGTATGCAAAATCTGATCACAAAAGTATCAAAGAGCGCACATTTGATCTCGTTTCCTTTTCCGCAACGTCCCCAAGTCTGCACGATTTTTTTCAATCTACCCCTCTTGGACATCAAATCTCATGGGCAGCAAATCTCACTAGATATCCTGATTGGTAACGCAAAACTCTCTATAAAATTACCTCTCCTCTATAAAATCTGGGGCGTATCCCCCCAAGCACTAAACCGTATTACGTTTTACCCCACCATTTCATAGACGAAAAGTTAATAGGTATAGACGAAAAGTTAATAGGTATTATTTATGTGTGTGTGGCATTCTGAGAAGAAGGTGATTGGCACAGTGTACCAAGGGCAGTACCGGTCTGCATTGTATATATATATATACATACATAGATTCTAGATACAGTATTGTTTAACTTGACGGCGCTCATGTAGAGACGAATGGATAGGCCGCCTCGAACACAAGCATGCCGGCCAATGCGTGACTACAGTGTGACCACAGACCCGCCTTACCTCGAAACATCCTCCGGAGTCATCGGGCAAAAGCGTCGCACCATTTGGCAACGTCAAAACTGAAGCGGGTATGTGATCCCGGCGTCCCTCAAGCATGCTCTGACGAAATGGCTAGCGGCTAGAGCTTTCATTTTATCGGTGCAATGCACGCGTAAATGAAGAAACCTAAGTGTATCACGCGGCTTGAGCTAGAAATAGAAAAAGGCTGCAAGTTGTTTTCGTCAGTTATATACTAGGTTTATGGGATTTCCGGGCATCCCGTCGCGAATGCTGCGCACTCTGACAATGGCCGTGCACTCATCACTTGCATCACTTTGCCACCAAGATTCAATAGACTTTCACGGAGCTGGGTTGCATGAATGCTCTACCTGCCGCGCAATAGAACGCATTTTTCCATGTGTGAAAACGTCGCAGCAGTCCTTTGTTTTTATGTTACCAAGATTGTTTAGGGACAATTATCAAACGTTTTTTTGATCAGGTTTTTGCCGAAGGACTGGCCAAAGGGTGGACGGGCAGCTCTGCTCAGCTTCCCCAAATGCAATGTCACATTTTGAGGAGCAGTTTCGAACTTTTCTCAAAGCAGTTTGAGGTGGAACTTTCACTGCACGTGCCGCTTGCCCACAATTTTTATGCTTAGGCCGGTGATTTGATTTCCTTGCTTTGAGATCTACTGTTCATGTTTTGACAAGAGACTTCTGACAACCTCGTTCGCAGGTCCAGCCTATCACTTTTACGCATCATTTTCCGGTGTAGGCCAATGAGCTCAGCACTACATCTCCACATGTGCAATTCGAAGACTTCAGGCGGTGGAGTTCTGCTGACCAGTCTTACTGAGGCAGGGTTCACATGGGTTCATTTGTGAAACGAAGGCAACTTCAGAGAATCTCACGCGCAACCTTGATGGCAGACCCTCATCGTGTATGGTGCTGAAACCTGCAATGCTCAGATGGCAAAGAATCAGAAGAGCCACAGACTGAGCGCTAATGAGACTAGATGAGACTGTTCAGTTTGACAGAACTCCCAACTGATGGAATTTGCAATGCTCTTCACAGATGTGAATCTTGCTTCTTTCATTGGTGAGTCATTTGCCCGAAGGTCCTGGTAGCATCCCATCTGTGCACCCATCATGGAAGGCCCTTCACGAATTCTGCATAGTTACTAGGAGCTTTTTTTGAGGATTGCTGTGATAGCTGATAGTTGAGACAAGGCTTTCGCTCAAAGGTTGAGGCTTTGCAGTCCTTTGCACGAGTCCAGTCTCGTTTGAATTCCGCCAGCCTTTTGGACCCGGCTTTGGAATCCACGTGTTCCGCAACGTGATTGCGACGGCGCGTTGGGAGTTTCAACAAGACCGGAAAGGGTACATGTCTCGAATCACAGGGTTGTGCTGCTCTCCTTGCTAGAAGAAAGATATGCTTTACTTTGGACCAGGCTGGACTGCGAATGTTTTGCACCCCGTGCAGGACTTGTTTTCTTGCGCAGTCAAGTTGTTTGCACTTTTTGCATGCCTGAATTGCAAGTCTTACAGTTCAATATTTCAGCTGCAGGACTGCCATCGAACAAGTTTCAGTCTGAGCATTGTGCTTTGGCAACTTGCAATGCTCAGTTGCTGATCCAATTCAGGTTAGCGGCAAAAGCAATTCCATGTGGAGGGCCCGGATACTTCAAAGACACAGGTATCCAAACACAATCAAGATCTTTCTGAACCTCAGGACAACACTAGCTGGAGATTTTGCAGGCAATGCCGCATACTAAGAGTGGAAAAGATGGTGCCCAAATTTGCTGTTCCAACCATCAAGTTCTTGGAACTCAGGTTTGTGCTGCCTGTCTATCTGCACCAGTACATCAGCTCTATGGTTACACTGTGACTACTCCCGAACTTAGGACTGCCTTGCGGCCAACCTTGCTATCGATTGAAGCCTCAGTATGTTAGGAGCTTGCCTGCAGCTGAACAGCGTGAAAAGATGATATCGCAGCTTGACTTAGTTTGTTCAATTGCGACCGCTGGTAGCGATGCACTTGTCCAGCTTAAATGCAAACAGCATGAGGTTCTTGAAGGACCAGTACCTGGACAAATCCAACGGAAGGCCTTTCTTTTTGATTTTTCTTTTTGGCAGGCTGGTGCAGTCTTGTGCTGCTTGTGTTTGCGCCAGGACCAGGCTGAGTGGTTTGGTTCCCCGAGACCTCTTCATGCGTAGCATGTACGTGGCCGTGGCTTACACAATGCAACATGACAGTCAATGTGTGTGGTGTATCCGACCTTGACACATTATATATTCTCTTCGCACAACAAAGTTGAGCAGGTCAGGTCTTTAGCACTTGCCTGTAGCAGGTTACGCGTGGAGGAAGTTCCTTCGCGGTCCCGGTTTACACTTGCTGCAATCCGAGAGGAATCATGAGTGCTTAGAAGTTCTTTTCTTTTTGGTGAAAAGGGAAGGACTCTCAATACAAGCAAAATACGAAAGGTTCTAAGTATAAAATTTAGAAATATAGCCTTTAAATGCCTTTAAGACAACGGTAGGGCTTCAGCGCCCAGATTCCCTACTGGGCAGACACTCTTGAATCTTGAACCTTGGAGCACCATTTGTGACAAATGTAAGGGGGTAACTTGGCATCAAACATTCTGCGATAATGAACACCTTGAAATCCCTTGAACACATTTCCCAGTTTTGACGTGTGTCGGAAAAGCTTGTCCTATGCAGCCTGGCCACCATGGCACTGGTGCAATGGTGTTTGTCCCAATCTGCGACCTGAGAATGTTGATTTCGAAGCGAACCAAGGTATTCGACGGTTGAGCGAACCATGGTGGCGTGCTGGCCAAAGTGACCAGACCAATCTCAACACTTTAGAGCCACAGCGACAACCAATCTTGGAACATGCCAAGCAAAATATTCTGACCGCTTACGCGACATAAATGCAAGCAATAAGTATTGGCATCACTTGAGCCATCTGATCTAGAGTCTAGAGGATACTAGCCCTGGCACAGATGAACATCATGTTCCCGGTTTGCCATTACAAGCAGTGGCAAAGGCAGCAAAGGCTTGATGCTGAATCAGCTTGGCCTTGAAGTTTTTCCCTGCAAAGCTCGGACCAACCGAGCGTGAGTTGTTGGGCAAAAGTTCTGTTTCCATTGTTGAACACAGATTTGGGCTACTAGGAGCAAGGACGCTACAGGGGCTCCTGGCCGTACTACTGGTACTAGTAACAAGAAGCTACTAGGGGCTCCTGGCCTTACTACTAGGAGCAAGGACGCTACTAGGGGCTAGAGAGGTGGAGAACATCCACTTTAGATGCAGGGACCGCTCTCATTCAATACAGGCAGCATTGCTTTTGCATCCATCGCAGGAACGGTTGTGAATATCCCGTTGCGTTGAAGAAGAAGACGCCAACCAGGTTTCTTCTCGGCATGTGGGAGCGGTTGGCATTCAGTGCGTCCGTGTTTCAAATTCTGGACACTACAGATACTAGTAGTAATGCCCTTGTTACTAGTAGCTTCTTGCTCCTAGTAGTAAGGCCAGGAGCCCCTAGTAGCTATTTGCTACTGGTAGTATCTAGTAGTAATGCCCTTGTTACTAGTATTTCTATAATTTTCTGTATACATACTGATGTTTGCACAATCTTTGCCCTGTCGGACTTCCACCTTTTTGCATGCAGGCTTCGTTCTCCTGAGTCTAGGTTGCAGGGTGTATGGTTTCAAAGGACTAAGAAGCATTTGTTCGTAGGATTGACCTCCGATGAATCAACCCTCCACCACTCCTTGCAAGATTCTCCAGTCACTTCGGTGACAGCTGCTCTTGTTTCATCCCCTGAGATTTATATACAAGGTCCAGCAGTCTTGCTCCGCTTGGTGGAAAAGCGCAGCTGGCCTGTGTTTGATCCTGCTGCATTCCACAAAATGCAGATACCAAATGGTCATCTCAGGCAGAGCTGCAGGGCGAAAATCTAAACACTGAAACACCCCTGGCACCTAGGCTCTAGAAAGCAATCATTAATATTGACATTGATATGGGGTGATGTTGCTCAGGTGCGTATATATATATACACATATATACACAATATATCACAATATATTTATATATCATTATATATCTCTGTGTGTGTGTCCCTCCCGTTTGCAGCGTACTGTTCATACCAACCATTACAACCAAAGGGTCGTTGCGCTTTTTCTTAATTCGACTTCCATTAGCAGGGGGCTCACGAGTCTGATCCTGGCGTGGGCCAGGTTCAGACTAGGACCAGGATATCGGGAGAGGACGCCTGACGTACCTGCATTTCAATTGGTGATGCAAAGCAGTTGCCTGTTCTTCTCGGCCCCTTTGAAGGTTGTTTCCAGGTTCGAGGTTGTTCTGCACTACTCGGGTAATGCAGCAACTAGACTGTAAAGAGTTAGTGCATCTTTGGTACCACTCTGACCGAGCGTGTCACTGAACCTTTGAGAGCCCCGAGTGAGCCCGAAGTAGTGCCCTCGTTGCGTCAACTGGGGTGTGAAGTCGTTGCATCTAAGTAACAGCAGGAGCCCATAGCGGACAACACGGGCCATTGTTGGAAGAGTTGTGTTAATACTTGAAGACCGGGCATCGGCTGGAGCAGGCTTTTGCAAGGTAGACTGCAGCGGCCTCGCTATGTGCACCACCCACCACATACAATACGAGGCAAGGTGCCCCTGCCCTAGGCTTGCTTTCATGAGGTTCGGCTCATTCTTCTTTGTCCCCCCTCTATCTGGTGTCCTT